AAGTCATTCGAAGTGTCAGAAGAGAAGAAGAAGCGTCAGAGAGAAGCGTCAAATGTTTAATAGAAGAGTTTAGAAGTGTCTGTTGGATATAATGGGTTTATTATCGTTTCAACATTGTTTCAGAGAAAGCTAAGGTGAATGTTAGATAAGGCGGGATTAAAAGCACGATAAGCAGGAGCTGCGGAATATATACGGATTATTTGAAAATTTTAATACGTTATTGGAGAAGTGAGTTTCGTTTATGAGCATGTATATTGAGAATATTATGGCTCACATCGTCCTTTTCCGCTCGAAATGTTGCATAATGAATAATACTATATGGAATTTGTGAGATACAGAAAATGAAACGTTTTGTAAAAATAATGACATAAAATATTACATAACTAATGATCTATCGACATTTATTTACTTTATTTATTTCGAATAACAATAGAAAAAGAAAATTTCTCTAAAATTTGTTAATAAATATATGATACAATTCTTTAAGAAATATAATCTATAGAGAAAAGAAAATAAATTCTAGTTTGTATAAACAAAAAATTAATAAACTCTCTTTAGATCATAGAATCTGTCTAGAAAAATAAAAAATTTTTAAATCGATTATTAAATGTCTGAACGCAATCCATGAATTTCGAAATCTGTAAGATCCGAATCGTCGGTAAAACAGACGTTCGTATCGTAGATGGCAGCACGAACCACTCGATTTCACTCGCTGCGCTGCTTGAAATATGTAATTAGATAGGAGAAAGGAAATTCCTAAACGGAGTTATCGAGCTGTCGCAGACAAATTTAGGTGAATTTTAAATGTCAAAATGAACTGCAAACTACCTTTGTAATTTTGGAACATTGTCGAGCCAGATTGATGAAAACAAATCTTGGCAGATCATCGGATAGATCGTTCTTCGTTCACTTTATTAATAAATCTATAATTAAGCGAACAGTTGTATTTAAAATTTCTCAATGAACGGCGCTTATGTAGCTATTTCGAGAAATTTGATTTTTCAGTGCTACGTTTGTTCACAGATTAAATTAAAAAAGCTACTACAACTTTTGCTTCGAAATGAACCATACTAATTTAAATAATTAATTAAAATAATAAACTCTGGGGGTTATTTAAACATATTCTTTATTTCTTTGTATCATTATTATATAATAATTCTATATATTATATTGGATGAAGCAACAGAGGCATTATTCCAACTCTATAATTCACGATTCCCATTAGGTGACATACTTCCTTTCAATCTTCATTCAATTCCATTACGAGTTTCTAAAAACCTTCCTGTTCTGAAACTCAATTTCGAAATATCATGATTTCGCATATTGTATTATACTGAATATGTCAACAGAAGTATAATATAAAATACAAGAAAAATGTAAAGCTGAAAGTTCGTCCTAAGTCGATAGTGGACGATCGTGTATAATAAATAATAACAAATAAATAATAGTTTCCATATTCCATCCATGGATGTCATATTCCTATTTTACATTCAGTTTCACTGCGAGTTTCCATAAACATCACTGTTTGAAACTTTCATCAAACTCCAATTCCAAATGCCACGGTTTCCACTAAAATTGTCAGCCTTTTATTGAACTCTACCTTCCAAATACAGATTTTCAAAAATCCTTAAACTTTTATTAAACACCACCACCGAATGTTACAATACTCGCTAAAACTCCTACGATTTTATAAACCCACAATGAACCGAATCACATTCGTAAACCATCCGACTGTCGCTATTTCATATTTCTCAATTTCCCTCTGAAAAGTACCCTTCTCCTCCGAACACTGAACCAATCACGCAACCCTCCACTAAATAGGGCGGATCGTCCCACGTATTTTTTTAATCTATACCAACTGAACTAAAATCTACATTCTTTTATTGTTTTTTAATCTAAACTAATTAAACTAAAACCTCCGCTATTTCATCAACCCACGTTGAACAGAATAAAAAATTCCTCAAACGATCTCCCTTCGAAAAGGGAAATCCTTCTTTTCTAAACACTGGGCCGATCATGCAACCATCCTGCCAAACAAAATGAACGCTAGATCGTTCCGCGTTTTTTAATCTAAACTAACTGTATTCAAATCTCGGCTCTTTTATCGAGTCACGATAAATCCACTCAAAACTTTCGAAAATCCCTCGATTCGCAATATCCCATATTTTTCAAACAATATCCCGTTCGAAAAGCACCTCCCTTCTTTCCCAAACGTTGAATCGTGCGATTAAGGAAATGGAACCCGGACAGAAATTTTTTCCATCTACCAAATATCATAATAAATATACTACACCTTGGATATTTCAGGCAAATTTGCGTATTACGTGCATTCTGTGCATCTTTGAATCATCAAAGTTCTCACGAACGCATACAAATCCTCGATCTAACAATCGGAAACTTCAAAAGGCCCTTTGACTCTCGATATCCCATATTTCTCCAACAATTTCCCTTCGAAAAGTACCCTTCTTTCCCAAACATCGAGCCGATCATGCAACCCTCCCCTAAATAAAATGATCGCCGAATCGTTCATTTTTTAATCCTGCAAATAATCGTCCGCGTAATCGCAATCATCGGAACGGATGGAGAGAGGAGCGCAGCGACGCGAACCTCGAAAAGTCGACGCGGGCATAACACACGCCAGGAGAGGAACTATTGATTAACTGTCTGGCACGTTGCGTCTCGAGTCTGGACAGCATTGTCTTTCATTATGCGATATCGCCGCCACATCCGGAATGGTTCGTGAGCATATCGTAGCAAAGCAGCTAGCCGAAGCGTCCATCGCAGCATAGGGACGCTCTTCCTCGCGCTTACGTGCACACGTTTCGCGAATGTGGAACAAACCGGTCGGAAAAAGAGAAATTCGCGTCGTTCGTCTGCGTCAATTCCTTGCTTTTCTCCCTTGTCCTCTATAATAGACCGTTATTTCCCCTGGTTTTCAGCCGACAACCAACGAGAATTGAAAAAAAAAAAAAGAAACACCGCGAGACCTGGAAACACATGCTACGTGTCATGGAAACGACAGAATGAATTAGTTTATCGATTTTGGTTCCGGAGAATGAAAATAGATACTGTTTGGAATCGTCGTTCACGGTATCATAGCTTTGCTTCCAAAATAATATAATTTGGATAATGTTTTCTCTTCCTCTTTTAGAATTTTTGTATTCGAGGTTTCACTGTTTCTTTTTTTTCTCTCTTTTTTTGTCGAATTATTAGTACGGGGAATTTTCTTAGGGGTTTTTATGGTTACAAAGATGATAATAGCTTCGTTGAACGATTGAAATGAAACTTGATTCTGATTTATATCTTGCAAACGCATTTCGAAAGTGTTGCAATACAAAATAATTTATGCCAGGAAAAAGTCAAGAATTAAAAATGGAAAATTATAAAGATATTTGTCTGCTGGTTTCTTCAGTCTATTCTTGTCAAATTATATGTCTCAGCATGAATAATTTTTTTTTCGAGCTTCCGAATAATTCTCAAAAATATTTGACATTCTTTTCTCCTTTTCTTCTTCTTCTTCTTTCTTATTTTTCTTCTTTTTTAGAAACTTCTAACCAGTTATGTCACTTTTGAAATACATGCGCGATATAAGTATTATTCTTCTTGTTGATAAATGAATCGCTTAGAAGTAGTACGAAACCACTTATTAAATTGAATAGCAAAGGAAAAGGCAAAAATGTGACAAACATTATGTTTTCGGAATTTCTGTAGAGTTTACTATTATCTGTGCCATTTCCCGAGATAATAACACGAATAGCATGTATGAAACGCGTAGGTGGAGTTTAAAATTGGACTCTAGACTCTTTTTTAAGGCGAAAAACGTAAATGTTAATTATAAAGATTACAAGTGTACTTTGCCTCCGATTAATTATTATAATGGAGCGTAATGTTCCCTTAGTAGATTAATTCGTGCAAATGATACTTCAACAACAACTCTTTTAAAACGAACTTTTACGACTTCTTTTTCGAGACTTTTTTGAAGTTGACTTTGCAAAAACACGAGATTTGAAAATTACGAACTCCAACTGCTTTCAACGTGAATTAAATGAAGCGCAGATCGCTGTCCAAATTAATGATCTATCTTCTTGAAATATGAGTTTTGATGTTTCAATTTATACCATTCACGCACATTCTGTTTCGATATTATATCAGATCTGTCTTATTTAATCAATGATACTAATATCTAATTTCTGTAAAAAAAATTATACTCCATTTTTTTTATTAATTGAAACCTTCCATAATATAAATTCACACAAGCATATTGAACTTCATAAAAAAGTCAGCGATATTTCAAATCTTGCAAAAAGTATATGCATACATCTTATAGCTAAGAAAGCGATCCTACAGGATAATAACGATACGATTATAAACAAACAAAATTTCTCCATATTTCAAACCTTTAAATTTATACTTATGAGGTTAAATTTTAAATATCATTTTTATAGATGTTTTCCTTTATTTAATTAACAATACCGATATATAATTGCTAAAAAAAAATTACTCCAAATCCTTTATACATCTTTATAAAAACCCCCATAAAATAAAAATCATAGTGCGTAACTCATTCAACACGAACCGAATCATCGAGATTTAAAAAAGCTTCCGAAAAATAAAATCCATAAAATGTTATAAAATAGTAAAAATACGATTATAAAAAATAAATACGGAAACGAAAGTCCTTCGATAGTTTAGCAAAAGATATGAAACGTAACAAAGAATAACGTCAGAAAAAGGGATTAAACTACCCTCTGATTGCACGTAGTGGCTCCGTTATTCTTTTTAAATTTAATCGTTGAACGTGCAAGAAGTTGCAACGGAAGTTACGGTTCGAACCGTGGTAAACGTAAAATCCTGGCAAACTTCCACGATGAAACGAAGTTTTCGTGACGCGACGAAAGTTTGCGTGGCGCAAATTTTTCGCCAGTATAGCGCGCAAATTACGACACGATCGTAAAGAAAACTGCGGATGTTTCACGAAATAAAACTGTGTTTCTACTTACGACGATCATCTCGGAGGGCTCGAGAACGAAGCATTCGTTGGGTCTCCTGGCGCTGCCACCCGTCCGCTTGCCAAAGCTGCAACAGAAAACAATAGTAACGTGGTTAAAATCTCTCCTTGATGACAGAGAATCATTCTCGAGTGCTACTTGCCATTGAAGCTTAGGTTTTATGAAATTTTATCGTGGTAGTTTAAATATTTCTCCTCGTGATATCGACTGGTGTTGAAAATTAAATAATCTTATTTTTCCCGAAGATTATGCAATTTTAGATATGGTGGCGTAATTTCTTCAGCGCTTTTGTTTTACAGTTGTCGTATGCTGATATTCGTATCGATAAGATAAATATCAAATATTTTCAAATGTACGTGGGTTGTAAAATACGAAATGACTGACTTTCAATGATTCATGTTTCATCGAACTCCAAAAAAAAAAATTCATTTTTACGAGTATGCAACAGGAAATGAAAATCATACACGAGAAAGGAAAACGTAGCGACGCATCTACGAAAATGAAAAGATTTATCGGAGAAGATGATTTAGGAAATTAATACAAGAAAATTGGACATTTCACATGTTACTGCGGTAATGTATAATTTAAATAACAATTTGTCAAATAATTTCATTGAAACAACGCTCAAATACAAAAATTTGTACAAACACCCTCTCTTTGTAACAACAAGACCACCTAAAACACTCGAAATGCTCAAATATTTCCCCCATTCCAAAGCATTCCCTACGATGTTAGTACCTAACGTTCTCTGCGTGCATTCACAAATAAGCGACAATTTTGCTCGCTTAGTGATCCAGGGATATCGACGTCACAACGCGGAACAATTTCGATTTTATCGGACCTTCGTTAAAGGGTTAAAAGCAATGACCATCGAACGCGCGCTATAAATTTCTTTCGCGCAACAATAACACCAGGGTGTGCCGAATACGGGGCGGGGGTGTTCCATCGACACGGAAGTCATCGTCGGAAATGCAATTTATCATCGAAACTCTCGTACACGATACAATATCCTCTAGCAAGGGGTGCAGACTCGCGTAAATACGTCTATTGTTACGGTGTTCTGGCTTTTAAATGTTTACGATCTGCCATAGAACGAGCCATCGACAGATGTTTCTTTCCCTTCCCTGTGCTACTCTTCGAATTAGCCGCGAATTTACAGTTACAGTGGCTATAAAAAGTATTGGGGCATATTCCTCTTTTCCAACGAAAGTGTTCTATTAATATCAGGTTCGCTTCATTTCCGAAGTATACTCAGAAAAACATATTTGAGTCAGACCAAATAATTTGCCTTATAATTCGTCAAATTTCCATACGTGAGATTTTTAGACGATCCAAGTGATATACAGTGAAATGTGTCGGCCATACTTTCGTTTCTTCAACTCGGCCTAATATCTCCAATTGTAATTATTTTATTAAATCATTCTCGATTATACTTATCGTGCGTATATCAATTCGTTTTTCTTATTGAATCATTCCCTCGTTTTTCATACCTTCCGTTACTGAAGTACACGATATTTTCTTATCCTTCCGTTATTAGGTTAAACATTAATGGTGTCTTATACCGTACGACAAATTTGATTATTTCATGCAAGTTGAAGCACGAGTGACTGGAACAACCCTACCTCGCTCTATCAAATTTTTGTAATCGTACGAAAGTATAATACTATTAAACTGTCCGAAATTTAATATATTTGGGCCTAATAAATTGGTATGTAAATGCTAATAATAAATTCAATGATGTAGAAATATTTTTGATAGCCACTGTACCTTTGCTGCAGACAATTCTAGAAAAATCTCCTACGGCTACGCGAGAATCGAGGGTCGAACAATATAGATACTCGTGAACTCGGCTTCTGGCATAATTTTCCCTTTGTACTTGGAACGTGTATTATTCTATACAGAGAGATATATATTTCTGTATGTACATATACGTGCGTATATGTGTACGCGTGTATAAGTATATGTATGATATAGAGATTGCTCGAAATACAAGGTGTTCTCGAAATATTGGCAGCAATTTTCCGATGCTATTTCGGTAATCCCATTCACACGTGGGGATATTGTATAAATACAGATTTGTAGACCTTTATCGAGCTACCTTTTCGAATGAGAGCTGCCTGACTTAATTTAGTTTAACGTAGCTTGGTTTAGCGCGAATCGTTTTGGTAGAAAAGTAAGATATAAATATAGTAAAGTATCTGGCATGAGAATTAACAGATCAACGTGGATGGATAAAGGAATTTCCGGTAGAGGCATAATATTAACTTCTCTTGTAACGATCATTTTAATTTGTAGATGAAACGTTTTACTAATAAGAAGTCGTTGTTATTTCTATTTTACAACTAACACAGGCACTTCTATGTGTTAACATAACAAACGTATTGGAAAGCGTTTTTAGAAACTAAAATATTTAATTTCTATCAAAAAATATAATCTTCTTTTTATAAATTACTCCGCGATACCTAGAAGAAGGATAGCTAACACAAAATAAACCCTAATCCACGACAACGTATTTCTCTACTCTGTTACTACTTGCTAATAGCCATTAACCAACAAAATTTCATCGAAATCGATATATATTTCCCTCGCGAGGGTTAAAACCTAAATTCAGGATTGAAATTATCATCCAAGAGAATTAGTCGGCCCAAGTCTCGCTGTATCGTCTCTATCTATGCTAGTCCATTTACCTTAATAAATTATGATTTCTGCGAGGTACACAGCTACCGTAGGATCTAGCCTCCAATTAAGGTAATTAATGTACGACGAACATGCAACGACTCGTTGGAAAAGCTCGTGCTTAGGAAGAAATCTCTTCGCGTTGCTTCACGTTTAATCCCGATGAAAATAGGACAGAACGACCGCGTGCCTTTTTCTAACAGTAGTAAGATATTGGAATCGAACAATTCTTCTTTGAGAGCCTCGAAGAAGAAAAAGCATCGGCATCTTCATCTTTAACGACATTGTTCTGAAACTTGTCTCGTGTAATATATCCTTTGAGTTTGAGTAATTCTTCTGTTACCTAAAAAGGTAATTCCTTTCCCTAGAAATGGTTCCTAAATATAGGCATACTGTTTTCGTGGTAGTAATTTTAGTAAATATTTCGATTAATAAAGGAAGTATTAATAAAGGATTCTAAAGGAAACCGGTTTGAAATAGCGAATCGTTTGGACCATTTTATTAGTTTTATGTTAGAAATTCTGCTAGTCGCCTACTCAATCTGTTGTACTTTTCAATTGCTTCTAGACAGAAGACATAGAGCGTACTCAAAAATGGAATTAGAAATATGAAAAATGGCCGATGAAACAAATAGGAGAGAAATTGTTAAAATATTGTAATCTAAAGTTACTTCGATTCTAATTAGATAACACTTACCGCGAATCGGATAAATACAAATAGGTACGATATATGAGAGTTAATCTTCTAGATAAATCGTATTTAGAATCTTATTTAACTATTACGTAAGTGATCCTTCTGATATAATCTAGCTGTATGAAACCTCTACCTTAATTACATACATCGATAACCACCGTGGGTCCCGATTAATTAGAATCCTAATTAATTTTCAACAGTATAAATTCGATATTCTGTCAATATTGCTGTTAAGAATATAGATATTTACACTAAATACCATAATGCAATAGAATACACGCAAATAATACATTAATATTTATCAGAACAGATGCAAAGGAGATACCAAAGCTGGAAGGTATTATAGTACAATACAGTTATTTCGTTATAATGTTGTAGTAATATTTGGTATTGCTATTATCTAGGTTAGGAGATACAAATTTGTTGTTTCGTAGAAACATAGAAATTCAAAGGCATCAAATACAGGACGACGTTTGCTTGCATAATAATGCAACACACGAATTATTATATATTCGTTTACAGTTAGTTTCGGCAATATTATAATCTCAAACTTGATACGAGCTTGTAAGATCGAAAAACATATTGCGGTATCTTGAAGCCAACGTAAAACTTGTAACAAGCCACTGGATATTTCTTTGTTTTCGTATTAAGGAATTTTAATATATCTCTGTTCAAGAATTCCGTAGAATAAACGCCAGATTGCAAGAACTAATTGATAATGCCAAAAGTCAAAACTACCAAACTAAACTTTGCCACGAAACCAATCTATCTTTATTGGAGTCAAACTAAAACTCGCGCAACGAGCGTGTCTCGATGTTACGAACCAAGAGATTAAAACAACTAACAGAAACGCCCCTTATCCAGAAAGTTATTGTAGTTGACACAGATTACTCTCTAACTTCGTTCAACTAACGCTTCCTAAACAGAAATCCATTACCGATGACGTTAGACTCTACTTTTACCGAATTTGAGCTTCTAGTTCCAACGTAGCTGAATGTTACAAACCAAGGAATTAAACCAGCAGTACAAGAACATCCCTTAACCGAATTAAACACAAATTACACTTGAACCTCATCGAACTGACGCCTCCTAAATACACTCTCCCATTGCCAATATGTTTTACTCAATTTAACAATCCGTTTTCTACTCGCGCCCCATTGCTTGCTCGATACTGCATCCGCCTCTCGTTCCTTCAACAACTTAACCGATCCCTCTCTTTCAACGCCTCGACAGGGCTCAGAGCGCATGTAAACTCATGCGAGAAATCGACGTCGACGTGCAAGTACACACCTCTACGCTGAACATAAATCTGGCGGTGCGGTAATACGAATGAAGGGAATATCGACAGACGTGTATCAAACGCGATTCAACCAGGATCGACTGGAGAATTTGACGGCTGAAGGAAGGTTCTCCAAGGTTCTTGACCTCCCTCGTTTCATCCATCTACCTTTAACGCATCATGCGTAACGTACAGAATGCTCTATAACGTGTGAGTAATATCTGAGAAATTGATTTCGATATTCCAAAAGAACGAGAAACATACCTAGAAACGTATATTCTTTTTGATCTTATTTGCGAGATTTAATGATTTCGCGTTGTCCTAATAGCGTGGTCCTATCGCCTGTCTTGCATCATCTGTTTTAAATCCATTGAATTTTTATTTCCAAGGATACTTGAAATTCGCGTATATGGACGTTCAATACAAGATAGCAATTTTAAAGAATCTCAGGGAATAGTGGTAGACTATGTGATAACCACATCAACGATAAGACGTTCCCGTGCATGTGTCGAAATACAGAATAGTCATCTTGAGCAATTTCTTTGAAGATAATCAAATACAAAATAACAGAAAACACGAAGTAACGATGAAACTAATAGTAGAACATAGTAGAATAGTAGTGAGTCGATCGATAAGTAATTCAGGATTGGTTCGATATAGATCTGCGAGCTGAAAGAAACTAGATAAAAATATTAATACTGTGATCTTCAACCAAGTCGACCTCAAACTGCTCATCCGACGATTCTCTGCGAGTAAAACTCTCTTAATGAACATGTAAATATTTTATTCTTATATATTCATGTACAACACCAGCTACGCTTTGTCAATCTATGGAACACCCTGTATATTTAGGTGTGACCACGCACACAAGTATAAGATCGGATAACACGTGCGTCACGTGTGCGTGCAGCGCGGAAAATTGAATTCGACGTGGATCACGCGGACCGGCTTCTCCATCTCGCAACCCCGTCGCGAGTTAACCCTATAACGCCACCCCGTTGCTGATACGCATCCTAGCGATTATGGTCGTTTCGTTTATGGACGGGTCTTGTCCGTTCCTTCGACGTTACGTCTTCGTTGGGTTTCTTCGGCTTGTTTTATGTTCCTCTTTTATGTTTTCAGCGTTTTTTTCGCGTTCGCATTCGCTTTGTCTTAGGGTTTGTAAAAAACGAGGGTTTTGTTGGATGGGAAATGATTCACGATACTCTTGGGTCTCATGAACGAGATTATAGTTTCGTGAGATTAATTCTGCTTCGTTCTGGTGGAATAGACTTTCAGTTTTATTTCTTGTGTTGGGAGAGAAAGGTTTTATGATATTTCTCGTGAAGTATGTTAAATAGGAAGATATTGTTGGAGCGCATTCAGGCTCGTTAAGGACAAATTTATTAAAATTGAAAACGGATAGTTTATTCTTTTATTTTCGAGTTACACTGAAAATTAAATGAAACAGATAGTGTGGTTTTAAAAAAAATATTTTGCCCGATAAAAATAGGACGTACGTTTGTAGATCCGCTTAAATCGTTTTAATAAGGTAGAGAGAATCATCGTGAATTTGCTCTCTAATAAAACGATGAAATAAAATTTACGTTACTTTTCAACGGGAAGTTACGCCGGATTTTATTATCAGTACGATCTTACAACGAAATTAAATTCAATGATGTTTTACGATCGTCGAATGAAATCCTGTAAAATCTCTCAATGAAAATTGTATGCGTGTGATGTGAGATCTACCACTCATACTGGTACAATAATGTAGCTATTAAATCTTAGCCATTAAATCTTAATGAGTTTTCTCTCGTAAGATAGAGAACTGATTGAAATTTTCACGATTAAATTTTTTATAACACGCACATAGTTAAATTAAAATATTAACTTAACAATAACAGATAATAGACATATGTAATAGTTGGCAGTTAGGTAGGTAATAAACAGTGGATATCCAAGGGTAAAATGAGGGTGTGTGTGCTAGTGGATGAATGTGTGTGTAGATGACTAAGTAAGAATGCAAGACAATAAAGGAAATAATTGTAAACCGAATTCCTTGTATAGACAGAGGGCTGTAAATAAACTATTCTTACTATTGCTACTAGTATTTTAATAATTTTTGCTGTCATAAGAAAGAAGATTAAAATATTTAAGAAGAAGAATTAAAATATTTTATTACGAGCTTTTTCCATTATTCTGTCTCTATTTCCCCTAATAATGTTCGAAGAATGTCCGCAATTTCACTCAGAAAGTGTCTCTGCATTCGTGAAACACTACTGAGCCATTTGAACCTCCGACACTCGCATGCCAGAACGGATTTCCTTGGTCACTTGGTGACATTACATACTCCACTTAACCCGACTGACTCTCGAACTTAGTCGACTTAATGAAATATTTCAGTCGACTCTGTTACCTCTATCAATTCCCTGTGCGACTCATTATACAGTAAGTAATAATACTCATTATTAAGTAAGTATAATTGCTACCAGTAGGCAACGAAATAACCGAAATGATAAAAGCTTCTTTCTGGCTTTTATGTGTCAAAAGGTCTTCCCACGACCTTGTGAGACAGTTGGTCCCGTTGGATCTCATACACCCGAATAATATCGACATTTAGGGAAGTTACCTTCGAACAGATTTTAGAACTCCTTAGTAGAATATGATAGAATTTTTTAATTCCATAAAAGAACTGTTTATAGAATTCTTACAATATATAATATATAACTATAAAACGGACGACACAAAAATTCATTGTTTCTAAAAAGTTTGAATTTGTATAGCAATAACGCTTTATGCACTTGACTAATACTTGCATTTAAGAACAATTAGTTTCTAATGAATTTTAAGAATTTCTAATCATTTCTGTAGCAATTTAGAGATTTAGTAGAAGACTCCTTACAAGATTATATTTGTAATTGGTTTTTATGCATCCAGTAAAGGATATTTAGATCTAAGAAATTCTCTAATGCATTTTAAGAATCATTAATTATACTTTAATTATATATATAATATAGAAATTTCAAATATAATTTTATAGAAATAAAAGAAACGAGAGATCACGATTTTAAATTTAGATTTGATTTTCTTTTTCTTGGTTTCTCTGATTAATTAAACATAAAGTCTTGAATGTCATGAATTGTGCATACGCGAATAACGATTCTATTTAATCAAACACCTTGAAATCTCTCATAAACGCTTTCAAACATCTATCGTTTCTCTACTTCTTTTCAAAGCTGTGCAACACTTCTGAGATTTGAAGAATCACTCATCCCCGCGTCATATCTTTCTCCAACAATAAATTTGATATTTATCAAGTACCTTTTCACCTGTCCCTATCTTTCCCTTTTTGCAGTCCACCTTACAGACCTGTAACTTCATAGCACACATGGTGTTCTCCGTATTCTTGTTCTTGCTCCTTGCTCGTTTATTTCGATTTCCGGCCGACTGTCAAGATTAGCCTCGCAATTGTCGGCTTATTCCATCCCAGGCGATTTCGATAGTCGAAACCCAAGTTATGTCGTTAAATTTCAATCAAGGTATCGCTGGTTGGCAGCGCGTACGACACCGTGTAATTTCACGAGTCGTATATTTCGTACCGACGAACGGGAATGAAGAAAAATAAAAATAAAACAGACCGAATGAGGGGAAAAGAGAAACAGCGAGGAGGAAAGGATCGGATAGAGGATATACGCAGGCTGGCTGTCGCGGTTTTATGGAGATTAATTGAAATATATTCAGATTGTAACGTACGTCCGTCCGAACGACCGCGTTACGCTGATTTATACCACGGATAAATTTTTGTTACGATGTTGCTTCAATAAAAGATGCACCGTCAGCGTGGACCAATTCCCCGTTAACGCGCAAGGAAAACGCCGATTTACGCCCAGACGTTCGTTTCTGCCCTGTTACATCGAAATTGCGTTAGCATCAACTTGACAAACCGAACAACGTACCAAATATCGAATGAGATAACGTAATAACGGATGCTGCTGTGATCGAAAGAGTCGAGTGGTGTAGAGTTTGAAGGATCAAATAAAAGATTGATTTATGACTAGGTGTAGTGTTGTGCGTGGGATTGGATATTTTGTATGGAAAAAATTAGTTGATAATAGGTAATCCATTCTAGGGCGGAAGGGGTGTACAAGAGTCGGATTTACTGTTCGAATAATGCACGACCAAGTGATTTATGTTGCATCAGTGTTAATTTACGGTTACTGGTTCGGAGAATTAATTACCAACTGTGATTAATTTCTGTTATTCCGTATGGATTGGATTGGACGAATTTGCGTTAAACGTAAGGTAATATTACCTTTTAAAAAATTAGTTTTTATTTCGACGAACATATATATTTATATAGATACTATGTACCTTTGTACATTTTTCTGTTCTTTAATTTAATAGTTAAATAATGGTTAAGCGATAAATGATTTCTTCTAAGAAATTCCAAAACTCACTATAAGGAGGATCATGAAAAGTTCTTCGGTATATAATAAACAGAATTACGTAATTATCACAGAATTACCGAGATATAAAAGGTTAATAAGAAAAAAGAGAGAGTAGATCATAATAACAGATAACATAATAACAGATATACCATATAAGATACCTATTTCTGATTGAAATTTCCAAACTCACCAGACGGAGAATCGCCTTCGAGGAAAAGCCGGAGGTGGCGGTGGCTGTACTCGATGGCTCCTATCGACGGATTCGCTTCTGAGAGCTTGGACAGCCTTTGGCACGGCCCTGAACGGCTCCTGCGGAGCCTTGGTGATCATACCAGAGGGCAGATTGCCATTTCCGACAGTGTCGTTAAAATTACTCGCGCCTCCGCCAACGCTTCCTCCGCCATGGAAACTGTTCCATCTTCTGACAGGACCTCTATTAGCAACATGGTGTCCGCTTCCGGGGCCGCTGGGACCACGTAGTTGGCTCGTGTGCTTGTGCATCCTCTCACTTTCTCTTTTTCCTTCTCTTTCTCAGCCCTCGGTGATCCTCCACGACTCGGACGCCTCCTCCTTCGCCTCCATCCTTCCCGTTTTCTTCTCTTTTTATTATATTGTCACCCGTTCTCGACGATCTGGACTACATCCTTCAGAACTTCCCTTCGTTGCCAATGTTCCTCTCTTCTTTTTCCTCTTTTTTTAGTCGATCTTTCCTTTCTCTTGGCTTTTTATTTAAATTGGGAAGTCCTGTGACGTGTCTTTTTATCGAAATTGGAAAGTCCACTGATATATGTTACAATCAGAGAATTTTAGCGCTTTATCGAGATGGTTCCGTAGAGCGAGAGCTTTTTCCCAGCGACGATTTGGTAGCTGGAAGTCTGTCTGTCGAAAGGAATTCGAATTTTCCAGTTAGAATGTGTTTGCGTTGGATTCCGTAAATGTTCGTGAACCAGGCTTTCATCGATCAACGTTGGCCAGCTTTCAAGCAAGTTTCTCAGGATTAACGTTGCTGTCTGCAGGAGTTCCGAAGAATACTGCATCCTTAGGGGTTCTAAACTTCGCTTCGCGTGTATATTTGATTAGAGTAGAGCAAGGGTGTTACAGAATGTAATATAAGTAGTAATAAGTAGCATCTTTTTGGTATAGCTCAAATATAAGCACCGTTAGACATTAGACTTTGTGGATATTTTCTATCGTTTTCTAAATAACAATAAACATAGACCGTGTATCAAAATATAAAGCACGAGTCCGAGAATTTTGTTATATTTCACGTTCTAAAGCGATGATTGTGAATTAAAGAATTTCAGTTAAGAAACAAATGATACATGTGCGCTAGGAATTCTGCGAATTCCAAGAATCACACGAGGATTCTTAAGAATCCTTTTTCTTTTGTTTGTCCCGACCATAATTAGAACCAAAACTAAACAACGCTTCTTATGATTAAGAATCACGACGAAACATCACGATTTCTTTCTCAATTAAAGAGATAAAGGCACAAATCATTTACCTGCGCTAAGAATTACAAGATTCGCGTGAAGAGTCCGGATTCTCAAGACTTCTCGGTGGCCGATCTCGATCGTAATTAGATGTTTTCTACTAAGGACCTCCACGAAACTTCCAACTTCGCAACTTCTCTGGCAATTAAAACGATAAAGGCACAAAACGTTTACCTGCACTAAAAATTACAAGATTCACTCGTAGAATCTGGATTCTCAAGAATCGTTAGTGGCTTGTCTCGATCTTAATTAAAACCAAAACGCAACGAGCTCCGCTTCCGTGTAGCCGTCGCGTAACGGAAGTCATTCTAAATAGAAGAACGGTGCGCAGCTCCGCGGTCGTCGTCGTCGTTCAAGAACGTACTATGTACTGTTTACAAAGCCGCGTGTCTCGTCGTCTAAAATCCTTCGGACGTATCTAACACGATTTTATTACGTGACTAATCTGTTTTCACCATGCACCGCGTGTATCGCTAACGCGAGAGAGTAACGGCGCGGCGTCGCGATGTCGTATCCACCGCCTTTCTCCTAACGCCTTATCAATTTCAACCGTTTGCACAGCATTCTGATAACAAAAGCGGGGGGAGGCGCCCGCCGATAAAATCCGAGACAGTCATAAAGGAATCGAGTGTCGCACGAATAGAGGCATCGTATCGCCACCAACGATAAGTCCTTTGATCCGTCTTACGATTTCGAGAGCGTCGCCGATAAACGACTCGATGGTTCTGTGATAATGTCACGATTGAATCGGTCGTCGTCGATCGCCAGGGATATTTACCCTGTTCGTCGATTTTTACCGAAGAACCGAAGGAATATGGCTGCACGGCTATGAAACTCGCCAACGATGGAACAGTATTATTGGAAAAACCGTTTTGATACTGGCTACTACATACTTTATGGAAACAGAGCGAATAGAACTCCACTTGTGGTCTCGTTCTGATCGTGTCGTTTTCGGCTTGGATGAGCTTGGAATTTTCGGACAATTTCGTGGATTTATTCTCCCGTGGTGGAAACATCGGAGTTTTCGAAGAATTCTTTCCGAAGTTTGACTGTAATTTTCAGGTTTCGGTCTGCGTGAAATTTTTATTGGAACGTGGATTAATTTTTTACTTCGACGGAGCCATGGGGAATTTTGTGGAATTTTTTTGAGAATCCCAATCGCGACTCTTAGGTTTCGATTTGGGGAGAAAAAGTTTGTCAGAAAGTAGACTAATTACGGTTTGTGACAGAATTATTAGAATTCTTCCAACATTTGACATATACCACAAATGAAGAATCGTTACGTTCTAATTAATATGTAAATAAATATTCCGTAATGGTAAACACGTTTCATTTAACGTAATAGCAGCTTCATATTTATAGCTTTTATATTAGAGACTAATAAAACAGTAAACATGAAAAAGTTTTATCAGAGCAATTACATCTAATCTTTGAACACAAGGGAAAATGATTTTCATTTAATTCCCAACATTAAGATTATTCATTTTATTAGCTCGTATGTAATTCCTAAGCAATTACGTTGAAGCATCACTGTGAATTAATTATTTTCCTTCCTTATGCTTTCCTGCGTAACTTTTATCTCCATTATATTTAGTAGAACACACATTTCAAAGTTACTAACTTTGTGCGATTCTGGATAAATACTGTTACTTCGAATCTAACAACCTTAATAGTCTTTCAGAGTTCAGGCTAGTGGACAAAAAATTCTCAATGAAAAGAGAACAAAATGATTTCTGAATAGAAGATTCGTACAAAAAAGTGTGGGTCGAATAGAAGGTTGAAGCTTTAAGAAACCAGAAACTGAGATTTCTCACAACCTGTCCTTCCCCTAATACCCTTTGAATCGAATCCTTTACGTTCTTTTATGGTTTCCGTTCGTACTGCTAACATTGTGGAACTTCTCATCGCCCAACAATTTGTCAAAATCGTATGCCCAAAACGATCTGATCTTTCGTAGACGTTTTCCGTTTGCGAGAAATTACAAGCAGATATATTAAAATTACGTTCGAAATTTAAAAATAAAAATTAATAATATCTCTAACAATATCTCAAAAATTCAAATGACATTGCAGATTAAGATATAATAATGTTCTAGAAATATAATAATAGTAGATATATAAAGGATGTATGGAATATGATCTATAAAATAACGAAACAGAATATGTAGCTTGTCTTTCGAAAAGGTGTCGTGATTTTGTAATCAAGCAGGTTCAAATAAAACTCGGAAAACTTTAAAGGAAACGTTGTATCATGAACATGGCGTCTTTCTATGCTGCAGTCTGTAACAACTAGACATCCACCGTTACCTTTTTATGGGAAACCAGCTTATACCGTACGCCTTGAGTAAAAAAATACTAATTCGTATGAAGAACCGCTAAGATTCTCTTACCAACTTGTATTGAAACATCGTCACAGCTATTACTCTTGCAACGTAAATTCTGTCAGAGAAAACAAGATTTTATCCCATACTTTCGACTTATACTTTATCACAGACTATTGCCTCTTTTCCCATTCTACCACAAATTATCTCACAGCTAATGTACCGCAATATGCGCTATCGCTATTTTCCATAATTGTATTTTATTTTTTCAGCGTCGATTACAGGGATCGTTAGATAATTTTCCACGTTTAATCTTAATCGAAACTTCTGTGCGTCACGTTCATACATTTAAGTGATTTATCTTCACAGTATACAACAGTATCTTCGCTCAAGTAAGAATCGTATTTGACATCCTAGAGTATTATTTCTGTTTCGTAAACATTTTCTCTGCAACGATGTATTCACATTATACGCAATATAACGTAAGATACACAACATAAAATAATAAAACAGATCGTGACGTTGAAATTTTTATCCAAGTACATAGCTTTTGGAAAACAACGCACAAATGCTATTTCTCCCTTTTAAAAACCACTTCCATTATTAATGAAACAAATGAAATTAAAACGACCACATATAAAATAATAAAACAAATCCAATTTCCCTATACTGATCGATGTAACTCTAAAAAAGAACGCATTCATACTATTTCTCCCCTTAGTTCTTCGATTATCGATCAAATGAATCAAATTATAAATCATACTAGTCCCGGCGTTTATCTGTATAACTTTAAGAAAAACAAATTTTTAATTAAAAAGATGATAAGTCAAAGAGCACATATATGTAAAATAATGAAACGAATCAAATTCATACACAATCTGTCGAACCATTAACCGGTTAATCCTTTAAAAACTACTAAATTATAGCGAATATCTGCGTCGTGATATCACCGTTGATTGGAAAATTCACGAATCGTTCGAAATAGAAAATTCCATGGAAGCTGCGAACAAGAGAAACTCGGGGGAGGCATTTTTACTTTATCCCCAGTCAATTCGTCGACGTTCGCCCTTGCTGACGTTCCAGTACAAGGGAATTCGCCTTTTCTTTCGTACGTTTCCCCCGCGTCTACGACAAGAGGAAGACGAGCCGCTTCTCGAGCGCGTGCTCAAGAGGTTTTGCAAGCTCGCTGAATTTCTATACACCGGCTCAAGAATCTCTACCTACTCCTACCCTCTTTCTTAAACCTATTCCTCCTCGGGGACCTCTTATGCACTTCACTGTACGCCGTTACTAAGACTTTCCCACGGCCGTGTCCCCCAGGTAATCTCTGTGTCTTTCGGATTTGAAACTGGCCGCAGGCAACCGAAGCGCGTAGATACGCGTCTCTGTCCACCGACACATCTCGCGAACAAGCTTTCGCTATTTTTTCTCTGATATTTTAGTGTTTCCGGGTGTTTTCAAACAGCTGCGCGCGCTTGGATGCTCGCGGAGAATAATTTAGCGACTAAGGATGTTTGTCAGTTTGATTAGCTGCAAGGTATAATTGATAGAGTTTATTTTAGAATTTTAGAATCTTCGTATTTTAGATGTTTCGAATCGTAGAATTTTAGAATTTTTAGATATTTCAAATTGCAGAATTTTCAGATATTTCGAAGTCTACGTAAAACGGAATCTCGCTAATATCGTTAAGAAATTGAGAGTCATCGAAACGTCATTAATTTTCACGAAATGTTTTTAACAACATCGACGAATTTAGTTAGTATATTGTAGTATAGCGTAGTTAGTATATATACTAATCTTATCTTTCTCGTACTCCACTACATATTTCGCTCGTATTCAGGCTCTGGATGGATTCAAGTATTTAATCCAGTAAGTTTTAGATCCCATTTAAAGCCTAAACAAGCCAAGACAACGAAATAAGGTGAGATGTAAATTCAGCCAAGTGTCAAACGACAGTAAGTTTCAAGTATCAGCATCTCTCGAGACAAAAGGAGCCAAGACCGTGTACAGCAGTTCATTTTAAGGTCAGAAACGTATAACATCTTTGGAACAGAACTGAGAAACTT